TTTTTTTAAAAAAACCTTTATTTATTTATTTATTTATTTATTTATTTATTTTTATTTGACCAGAGAGGGACAGAGTGAGAGAGAAAGAGAGAAGGAAAGTGAGAAAGCAAGCCACCAGGTCTAGGACTTGAACTGTGATCAGCCATGTGGGAGTCCAGCACCCTTACCATCGCGCCACCACCTGCCGGCCCCTATTTTAAGGGACTGTGACTGGGTGATAATTACAGACACCTCCTAGTGAGGATGGACTTACCTCGACACTCCAGTGGGTAACAGGCTGATTTCGTAAACACCCGCCCTGCTAAAGAAACAAAGGAAACAGACTCGTTAGCAGGAGGCACAGCAAGACACTCCCCTTGAGGAAGGGCTATCCTTTTGCATTCCCAAAGTCCCAGCTCACCCAAATCACCCACTCTCCGAGAGCAATACGAGGGCGCATAACCCCACCTCCTCCAACCAGAGATAGGGGACGCGATGGTGGCACATCACTAACGGCACTAACGGCACTGGGGACAGAACTGAGGACCAGGCCACAGAAACAAAGACCGGGATAATCGACTTCTGAGACTAGTATGTCTCACCCATCATTCGGGCCCATACGGTCTAGGAATTTATCACACAGAAGGGTGTCAGAGACAGAGGGGTGGGTGACTGCTCTCTGGTGTGTTTGGAATAAAGGGGTCCATCAACGGGAGCAAGCACTCAAGGGCTCTGAGCTTCCGCTGCTTTCAAATACGGATGTTACTGAGGATGCTCCTTCTCTGATTAAAACCCTTCCATGGCTCCCCATAGCGGGCCTCATGGTCCAGCTCCGTCTTCTGACGGCCTCCGTCTCCAGCAAGTCGACCACTTGGACTCTCCTGACGTCAGCACGCTCTAGGCTTTCCTTTTTCTTTAGATTTGTGGCCGTAGGAGCTGTGCGCTCACCAGAGAGGAGACAGAGAGGAAAAGTGAGAAACCACCCCTGGGGGGGGGGGATGGCCACGCTATAATCCTTCTCCTCAGTCTCCTTTAGGGATTTGGGACATGCTCGCACACGTGTGTGGTGTAATTTTTAAGCCAGGTCCAGGACTCTTACCACCGTTGGTCAGGTGGAGATCCAGCTGCTTTAACCACCACACTCCCTGCTGGCCCAGGCTCCATGTCTCTCTGCGTGCTGGAATATCTCCCCACATGCAGCATCCCCAACCCAGCCCACCTGCAGCTTGGGACCAGGAGAGAACTCTATTTCACCTTTCAAAAAATCTCAGCTCTGCATCATCTTCTCTAAACCTCTTCTGACCTTTCACACAAACGTCAGACATCTCCTCCTCTGAGCACTGCTAGACCTTACACATAGGTATACTGCTTTAAGATGTCCACGATCGGGACCAGAAGGTGCTGTAATAGTTCTGTTGCTGGATTCCCACATGGCAGACCACGGTTTGAGTCTGGACACAGACACCTTGAAACTCATGCCAGACGCCTATGCGTGCCTGCCCAAAATCCTGAGAGGAGAATGGAAGAGAAGGGACTGCAGCATGGCCATCCCCCCTTCAGGGTAATTTCTTCCTTTCTGTTTCTGTCTTTCCAGCAAACACACACGCCCTACAGTCAAAAAATAAAACCTCTCAAAAAATAATTAAATAAATAAAATGTCCATGATTACAGCTCATCTATTTACTAGACTGTGGGCTTCTGACAGTGCTTGCAACGGAAGGGCACCAGAAGCCCACTGAGTTTAGTCAAATATGGAGAAGTCCAAAGTGGCTGATGTTTGGATGGCAAGTCCTTGAAGGCACAGTGACACCGACTGGACAGGTGCATCCATCAAGACAACTGCGTCAGCTCCTTAGAGAGGGAGATGTGACAGCGGATGGCACAGGCCAGACCCACAGCACAGCGGGTAAGCGCAGCCCTCAGGAGCCGGTTCCCACATGGTTGACAGCATTCAAGTCCCAGTCCAGTGACTTGAAAATCAGACAAGGCATGTGTGTGCTCATGCTTCAAAACCTAACATGATGGAGAAATGCAGGGAAAAGGTGTGGCATGCCACTAAAGATGGTGGCATGACCCTCGCTGGGAGGTACTTTCTCTCTGACGAGTAACACAGCCACTGGCATTAAAAAAAGGCCCCTTAAGGGCCACATGTATACCCAGATGTCATCCGCATTTACCACGTTTCTATTAATAAAAGTGTTGTCTATGAAGTTTCCCCGAGTGTGAACACAGGGCTTCAGTGTGATACATGTGGACACAAATAGAAACTGACTCACTTTAATGTGGAGGGCAGGTCTGGGTATTAAAAAATAAATCTAGCATAGTTAACTTCAGACAACCAGAATTAACAAACCCTAGGGCCAAAGAGGAATGGGTTCTTTCATTCTTTTTTTTTTTTTTTTTTTTTTAAGAGAGAGGTTTTTACTATACAGCAAGTGCACTCACTGGAGAGACAGAGAGACAGGAAGTGAGAAATCACCTCCCAAGGGGATGGCCATGCCACAATTCCCTCCCCTCCCCATTGTTCTCTCAGGATTTGGGGCACACAGGCACAAGTGCCCAGCCTGAATTTTAAGCCACCAGGTTTGAGACTCGAATTGCAGTCGACTGTGTGGGAGTCCAGTAATGTAACCATTATGCCATCTGCTGGTCCCAGGGTTCTGTCATTCTTCTGACTTGCAAACTCACAATTGCCTATTTTTCATCCTGTATGTCCCAAAGACATCTTGTAATGAGTTTCATGATTTTGTTCTGTTCTCTTTTTCATCAATGGATGTAAAATCACATTGGTATTTCTAAAATAATCAAAGATTATTCAAATTAGAATGGGCCTTAAGTGGTTGTGTAGTTCAAACCCTTAACCTTACAGATAAGGAAACTGAAACCCAGGGAGATGGCAATAATTTACCTAAGGACTAGTTTTATAGTTAACTAGTAGCAAAGCCAAGGCTACATTTTTTTTTTTTTTTTGGAGAGGTTTTTGCTATAGGACGCATGCATTCGCCAGAAAGACAGAGAAAGAGAGAGAGACAGAAAGTGAGAAGAAATCACCCCCCGGGGGATGGCTACACTGCAATCCCTTCTCCTCCTGGGATCCTGGGCACGCATGCACACGAATCCGGCATGAGTTTAAGCCACCAGGTCCAGGACTTGAACTGCAGTCAACTACATGGGAATCCAGCGACATAGCCATTAATCCAACTGCTGGTCCCGGCTACTTATTCTTTTTTAAAAGTATGTCAACATCTGTGTTAGTTTCAAATTTTCCAAGATATACAACACAGGTCAGCTGCAAGCAGCATAGCACACTGTTCCCAGCAACAACATAACCCTCATGCTAATTCCTAAGAGAAAAAGATAGTTTCTGCCAACACTTGAGCTACATCAGCTGGAAACTGAGAAGCATTTCTCAACAATTATGGCTAGAACATTTTCTTTAAACATTTGATTGCTACTAGTATACTCTTTAGAGACTGGGTCTCACCATATTGCCCAGGCTACCCTAGAACTCACAGTCTTCCGCCTCAGCCTCCCAAGTAGCTGGGATCAGAGGTACGTGCCACCGTGCCTGGCTCCTGGACAGAACATTTTAGACAGACCAATGTAGGAACATTTACTATCACGTAAACTGCTCTGGAACCATGATGTGGTTTTAACACGGGGATTGCATGGCCATCTAGACTGCCGGCAGCTTTCACAGCACTGCTGTAAAGTGGCACCTAAAGTCTTCTCGGAGTCATGCTTCAGTGACTAGGGAAAAAGTCTCCCTTGTCTTTACCTAAGAGATGTTTCCAGCTTCCTGTCTGGAGATGCCAGTTAAGTGGCACCAGGAAATTTTCACCAGAGTCAAAGCTAACATACAGAGATCCTGTTGCATTTTCCGTACCATCAGCAAACTCCGAACGTCTTCTGAAAAGATCACATTTAAAGACACCTGAGATAGGAATATCCCAGCCTAACATGAAGACATTCACTGGGCCATTCTCATCCAGATGGAAAAACCAGGGTGAGGGAAAGATCCCTGGCTCTCCATTTCACTGAGGGCAACGGTTATGGGAAGGCAGCAAGCTACTTACTCAATCACTCGTGGCTCTGGGGCTCTGCGTACCTGCAAGGAAACGGGCAGATCTTACTTCTGGAGTAACTTCTAATTCTCAGGGACGCTGACTTAGCCTCCCCTCACTTCTGGTCAGTTAGGCTTACAGCTACCTCTGCTACATCACAACTGCTCACTAGCCCCCCGGAGGTCCTTGTTTCTGTTCGTCATGTGACTACCTCCCATTTCCTAGCAGACTGCAAAAGTTGATACAACTAAAGTCAATTGGGCCAACGGGTAGCTGGTGGTTAAGGTGCTGGACACTCCCACATAACAGACCACGGTTTGAGTCTCGGACCTGGTGGCTTGCTTTCTCACTTTCCCTCTCTTTCTCTGTCTCTCTCTGGTCAAATTAAAAATAAAAAAAAATAAATAAAAAAAAAAAGTCTGCCCTAAAAAAAAAAAAAAAGAAAGAAAGAAAAATAATTAACTGGGCTAGCCGGTGATGTGGTGGTCAAAGTGGCTGGATCCCAGGTGGCCCACTGTAGTTTGAGTCCAAGACTCAGAGCCCTGAGAAACATACTGTGTGCATGCCCAAGATCCCCACAGGAGGGAGAGATAGAGGAGGAACTGCAGTGGGACCATTCCCCACAAGGAATGCTTTCTCACTTTCTTCCTCTCTCTGGTAAGCATATACACCCTCTAGAAAAATTTTAAAAATAATAATAATTCATTTTCTTGGCAGCCAGCAGCTCTGAAAAAATCTTTACATAAAGGAGATTTTTCTTAAAACAGAAGATATACTATAAAATAAGGAATTTTGATCACTTTTTTCTTTTAAGGATTTTGCCATAGGGTGCATGTGCTCCCTAGAGAAAGAGACAGTGAGAGGGAAAGTGAAAAATCACTCTCCACAGGGATGGCCATGCTGCAATTCCTTCTCCACTCTCCTCCTGGGATTTTGGACATGCACACACCTGTGTCCAGTATAATTTTTAAGCTGCCAGGTCCAAGACTTGAAACCATGATTGGTCACATGAGAGTCCAGCATCTTAACTACCATGCCTCCTGATGGCCCTGACTTTTAATAATTATTTACACAATCATTACTACAGCGAGATGCCTCATTTTAACCCCTTTCCCCTATATCATTAAAAAGTAAATCTCTACACTTTCTTATATTACTCTAAAAAAAAAGAGCTAAACACCAGGCATTTTGCTGTATTTAATATTTCATCCAATTCCAAAGATGTCCGCTACAATGGCTCTGAAGACAGCATGGTCTTCGGGCTGTTAGAGCACAGAGAACCGGGGCCAGCAGGTGGGGTGGTGGTTAGGGCACTGGATTCCCACGCAGCTGACCACAGTCCGGGTCCTGGAACTGGGGGCTTGCTTTCTTACTTTCCCTCTCTCTTTGTCTCTCTCTGGTTAGCATACATAATAATAAATTAAATGAATAATTCTTTTTTCTTTTGGAGAGGTTTTTGCTATAGGGTGCATGTGCTCACCAGAAAGAGAGAAAGACAGAGAGACAGAAAGCAAGAAATCACCCCCCCCTGGGAGGATGGCCACGCCGCAATCCCTTCTCCATTCTTTTCTCAGGATCTTGAGCAAGCATACACATGCGCCCAGTGTGAGTTTAAGCCACCATGTCGGGGGCTTGAACTGTGGTCGACTACATGGGAGTCCAGCAACATAGCCAAAATGCTGCTTGTTCCAAATTTAATAATTCTAAAAAAAAAAAAAAAAAAAAAGGAGCATAGAGAACCAAATGAAGCTCTAGCCATGATATAACGGCTAGCCTCTAGGCACAGCACACTTTCCTTTTCAAAAAATGGAAATAATATATGATCATAGGGGTCAGCGTGGTGATTAAGGGCGCTGAACTCCCACGTGGCCGACTGTGGTTCGAGTCCCAGACCTGGCAGCTTGCTTTCTCACTGCATTCTACCACCACCACCACCCCCACTATCCCTCTCTGGTAAAATTAAAAATAAATAAATAAATAAAAAGTTCAATAATTCTTAAAATATATATATATGTGTGTGTGTGTGTGTGTGTGTGTGTGTGTGTGTGTGTGTGATCATAAACTGGGGAAGACTAGGAGAATCCTCAGACATACAAAAGAACTGAAATACTTCACATTTCATTATTACTATAGCCCTTCTAATGGGCTATTTACTGTGAATTTACTTACTCAGTCACTATGTGAGTGTCTACCATGCATACTTAGCTTTTATAGCAAACACCTGTTACTGTTGAAGCAGCAGCAAGAATTTACCTGTTGGGGCTCTTTGAACACAAACTTTCTGTCAGACATATGATGCTCCTTGTCCCTCCAGGTCTGGCCAGGTGTCTGGGGGAGACGGCTCTGAGCAGCGGTAGCTGAAGTAAGAGAGAGAACAGCCTCAAACTCTTCCAGGGGGAAGTCTGTTCTCAGCACCCTCTACTGAGCAAGCGCCAATAACATCCACGTGGGGATAACCTCTATGACACCTAGAAATTAACTGGTAAAGTTGATGGAAGCCCCAACACCCACTGAAGGGTTTGAGGGTTGTTGCTGTTTGTTTTTTAATTTTATCAGAGGGTGTGTGCACTTGCCTGAGAGAGAGAGAGAGAGAGGGGGG